ACCTCAAAGTGCACAAGCGACCAACTTGAAGCGTTGGATGAGATTTTGAAGCTGAAATCGCGTTCGGTGTGAACGCAGCATCAAGAGTCATCCATGTTTTTATGTCTTTGAGACGTGCTTGTAGTTAAAGTAACTTATTAGATTAATCAGGTTCCATGTCCTGTGTGCATTTGCGATTATTGAGACACTTCTAGCTCCATAAGACCCACCAATGATAAGTGTCAGAAGATGGAGAAGTATTGTTTAATTTGTCATTTGAAATATTATTCAGTTTATTACWTAAATTTTAATATTTCTTGAAATGTTTCCCCTACAGCTCACAGTTACAGTAAACTTTGTGTCATCTGCTTGCTGTGATTATGAGAAAAAACAAATGGTCTTGAAAATACAGCATTCCTGTTTGGATGAAGCTTAAACTCAGAACCAAGTCCAAATTGTTATCCAAGCCCTGTTCTTTTCCCGCTCTTATYTTGACTTGACTCTGTGTGTCCTCAACAGTTGGTTTCTATTCGTCTGTCTTTGGCACATTGCAACTTCTGTGTCTGGTGTCATGCCCTCTGATTGGCTACATCATGGACTGGAAGATGAAGGAATGTGAGGGAGAACATCCAAACATGCAAACAAACAAGAGGTATGAAACGATTTAATGGTTTCTCTTCATGTTGCTTTGAGCTGCTGTACATCAAACATAAASTCATGTCATTGTACAGCTCTATTATGTTTGGCAAATGTACTTTCTAACCAGAGTTCAGAGTACTGGAAATAAAAATAGTCAACAGAGGCAAAACGTTAGCCTGGCCCTTTCCTTCCTCACTCAATTCTAGTTTCCTTCACTGCTCCGTCTGGGACTTCTCCCACAGACAAGGATTTCTTTGGTAGAATTTTACCTGGACCAATCAGAGAACAGAAGGCGGAGTTTTGAACGATGTCGATTTTCTGCGCAGTGTCTGCTAGTTATTTTAGCATACTACAGTGGAGGAAGTGAATGAAGCCAGTCTGTGTTGATAAGGCTTCAAATTAAATTAAATTTGTCTGACAAAGCAGCAGCTCTCATTTACAGTCGACTCGTTCGGCTCGGTACTTCTCTCCTTTCAGTACGGTTGCTTACAGTGCACACGATTTCCCGTTAGCTCCTTAGCTTAGCCTCCTTCACAGTGAAGCTGACGCACACATACATCACGACTGATCCAGTCGTTTTAAACTTCAACAGAGGCCACGCCTCCAGCAAGCTTCTCAATAACCGAGAGTCCAGACCCTCGTACGAAGCAAAGCAAAGGACAAGGGGCTGGGGTTTTACCAGGCTAGGAAAAGGTAAGTAGGTTTTTTACAAGGGATTGGTATAACCAGGGAGTGGAGGATCTGTGAGTTAATCTGAGCCAAGTACTATGATTATATTTTACTTATTTATATTATTTAGAAAAATATATTTTATTTTGTGTGATCTTGGTTTTACGCTTTGGAGGCAACTTATAGGTYTTGTCAGATTTAACAGCAGGGTCCAGCCAGAACAAAAACAACCAAGAAAGCAGAAATGAATGGATGACGCACCTGCAGCTGCTATTGCTACTATTGCCCCTTTTCCACTYGTGCCTGTACAGCACAGTTCGACATGACTCTGCATGGTCCCATTGCGTTTCCATTACCCAGGATTTGTGGAACTGGCCCCCATTRTATTACCTACTTTGTTGTAGTTCCAAGCGTACCATGCTGGCCAGAAAACACAATGTCAGAACACTGTTGGTCACTGATTGGTTTGGGTTGAGTCACTGGTTGCGTCCAATAAACAATAGCTTAATACTTCATGATTGTACTTACCAAAGTCCTGCTACTGAAGCATAATATACATGAAGTGCAACTTGTGCCAGTGTAGTTTATTAAATAGACTGATTACATGTTTCAGTTTATTTTGATTCATTTTGAAGTTTGTCACTCAACATAGTCATGGAAAAAAATTAGACCATCTTTGCTGTCAAAAACAATAGTTATTCAGCCAAGTACTAACTCCTGTGTGTATCATGTGACTAAATCAAGGAGAAAAGAACAATTTGAAAATAATATAGTGTTGATATAAGTACTGAAGTTATTTTTGTCATTAATAAGAAAACATTGAGAAAAGCTAGATATCAGCTCTTAAAACAAACCCTGACTAGTTGTTACAGTCTTTTGATAAACATTTACCGGTACTTGTACTATAAAAAATTWATTTGTTAATAGTTAATTAGTTGGGCTTTAAATTCTCTGGAGTTCTGTTTGTTCCTTAGTTCAGCATTGTACACTTTGTGTCATTTGTGGCTCATTTTTTGATTGTGTTTGATCCCCACAAGTACTGCTCAGTAGTTTTGCTGCCTTGACAGCATTTTGGTTTTTATTATCATTAAAGTAAGTTTTCATTTTAAGAAGAGAAGTGTCTGTGAAAGTCTACCCCCCCTCCCCCCATGACACAAACAATGAGAGCCAATAGTTTAGAACTGTCCCCATGAGAACTCACAACAAATGACATAATGGAGCTGGAAAGTATTAAACAAAAATTAAAAATGGGAGAACTCACTCTACAAAGCCAGAAGGACAGCGCAAAATCTGAGGTCTGGAACCATTTTAAACTGGTAGTTGATGACAAACTGGTAGTTTATGTTGATGACGACTACAGGAAAACAAGTTYCATGGCAATCACCTGTCACTTCATTGGAAGTGACTTTAAACTTGCTGGGAAAACCCTAACGACAGCCGTGTTTGCAGCAGAAGAGGCAAAAATTGGCAAAAACACAAGGAAGGAAATATTGCACCTACTTGTTAACAAATATGGCCTGGAGCCCAGCTTTCTCAATAAAACATTATGGATGACAGACCAGGGAAGCAATATTGTTAAAGCCTTGGAGCCATACAGGAGGATTTCCTGCCTTGACCATCTCATAAACACAGTCCTTCACCATGGCCATTTTCAGCAACAGCATCTAATTTATTTTTGGACAACTAACTAGTTTTAAATTAAAATAGCCTTTTTCTATATTTTTCCAAACAATTTTGCTATAAAAATGTTTTTATTCATCTGTATAGGCTAACAGCCTATCTTTAGAGTTGATTTTTTTAGGCTATTAGTTTCCTGTAAGATATCCATTTGATGACTTGTTAATTAACAAGAGATTTTACGT